GGCATGTGGCACCGTCTTGTTGAAACCACATGTCAGCTAAGTCCAGCTCTTCCATTTTGGGCAAAAAAAAGTTTGTTATCATCGCACGGTAGCGCTCGCCATTCACAGTTACGTTCCGGCCATTGTCGTCTTTGAAGATGTACGGCCCGATGACACCACCGGCCCATAATCCACACCAAACAGTGATTTTTTCGGGATGCATTGGTAGCTCTTGCAAAGCTTCTGGCTGGTCTTCACTCCAGATGCGGCAATTTTGCTTGTTAACGTACACATTCAAACAGAAATGAGCTTCGTCACTGAACACAATTTTTCGATATGTGGATCTTCTTCCAACTTTGCCAGCGCCCATTCACCAAATTGGACACGTTGTGGGAGGTCGTGTGGCTTCAATTCTTGCACCAGCTGTATCTTATAAGGTTTTACAGCCAAATCCTGTCGCAAAATTTTCCACGTAGTGGAGTAACAGAGGCCCAATTGCTGCGAACGGCGGCGAATCTCGACATTTCACGGTCATCACTAACACTGGCGGATACAACCGCAATATTTTCTTCAGTCCTCACTCTACGTCTGCGTGTTAGTGGTTAAATGTCCAATAATGTAAACTGGGTTCGAAATTTAGTCACAAGCTTCCGAATAGCTCCCTCAGTAGGCCGACCAAATTGCCCATAAATTGGAAGCAGTGCTCGATGCACTCTCTTAACCGAGCATGAATTTTGATAGTAAAATTCAATAATCTGCAAGCGTTGTTTGTTCGTAAGTCGATTCATGGTTAAATTATAGACCAAACTGAACAAGTTTGACAATGACACAAGACACGATTCGCGCGTCATCTGTCAAAAACAGTGTTGCCAAAAAGATACTATCAAAAAAATCACCCATTATAACATAGAAATTACTCTTTGCTAACGTTTTAGTCTTTTCAAAGTACGGGTAATTCATTTGTTTTTACAAGCTTTTATTAAACTTAACCTGTTTGATAATAATATTTGTAGTATGCATGTTGTATGTGTGGGACGAATCTTGGAACTGCAATTTGAATCAGTTAAACTTCACCAACTGAGCTGATACTTTATATACTCATTTGATTTGCATGACAATACAAAATGAATGAGATGCCGCAATTTTTTATCCAATATGGCGGATGCTACAAAATGTTGAATCATCATTTCCATATTAATCACTATTATATGGGTATTAAACGGAAGGATTTGATGAAAGAAACACAATAAGCAAAGTGATGTCATTCTGAATCCAATATGGCGACCGCCCCAAGTTGGTGTTTATAATTAATATAGTCAGCACTATGACATAGGTACAGGGCTTTATGACAGAAACATAACAAGCAACGAGATGTCATTCTAAATTCAATATAGTGGCCGCTTAGTAACGGTTTATGATTTCCATAGTCACCCCTAAAAGCAAATGACAAGGCGTGATGAGGGATACAAAATGAGCAAAGTGTCGTCATTCTAGGTCCAATATGGTAGCCGCCACTGAATGGCGGTGTATGATTTCAATGGTCACCGTCATAATAAATAACGTCAATCTAAATTTCATATAGCGATCGCCGCAAAATATCGATTTATCATTATATAATTAATATCTGCTGAAATTTTATAATACAAATAAACCAAGAGGTTTCATGGAGTCATATTGATAAAATATATGAAAGTTATATAGAAATTACAAACTAGTTATTTTATCACTAACGTAAATACTAAAAAGTGAAAAATGTATACAGAGTGACGGGAAAATAGATGCGGAGCCGGTGGGGGAGATAGTATAAGCCGATCTGAGTCGATTTTACTATAGGAACTACTGTCCCAAACTTAGCCGTTTTCGAATTATACTAATTTTTAAGATTTTCTAAAATTAACGTCCTTTATACGTTAACCAAGTCATAAAACTTGAAAATTGGGTGTTTCATTTGATTTTTTTTTGTTTTACAATAAAAATATTCTAAAATACGAAAATTGATACCCAAATGTACATTATTGACATTATCTCATGCAGTAAGCTTCAAAATAGTTCAATTTTTGCTAAAAAAAATCTTCGTTCACCTTAAAAACTGAATTTACTAGAAACAATCACCTACAAATGTTTCGTGCAAAACAATTTTAAAATATCTACGTTTCAAATAAGGTATCAAAGTCACAAACCGGTTTAGAAATGACAAATATGAGTGAAAGAAACTGGTAGAGCCGTGAACATCGGACTTTGCCACCGGAATAGTGTGATAAGTAAAGACCGGATTTATATGTATTTACATATAACATAATATTTTAGGGTTTTTTCGGATAAAAACATATAACATAATATTTTAGGTTTTTTCTACATATAATCCATATAGAAAGACATACGCTTTAAAAAACATAACATGGCATTCTATTTTTTTTTTATTCAGACTAAACGCATTTATTATTACTCATTGTTATGTAAATCTGACAATGGTGCAGAAATTATAAAGACTACAAAGCATATCGGTGATTCCCCCAAAGCATATCGGTGATTCCCCGAACAATATCTTGTCACCGTGCCGTGCACCTGTCGCAATCTTTATTTAGAAAACTTGAGTAGTAAATAAACACGTATTATTCTTCGCTGCCGCTTAATATTCAAAAAGATCACCATGCCGAAAGTATCAAGCTCTAAAGCTGATTTACTTAAGAAATGGATAAAGAATGCTAAACATTTATCCACTGATGGAACAGTTGTATACTGTAACTCCTGTTCAAAGCAAGTGAGTATATGTATTAATATAATAATTAATTAATCTTTCATTATCTACGGAGCTATTTTTGTACATATTCATTATTTCAAGGTTTCATTAAAGTTTTTTTTAAGAGCTCGTTTGATTTTAGGTATCCTCAAACCAGAAATTTCAGATCGATCAACACCTTGCTACAGCCGTTCACAAGGAAATGGAGAAACGATTTAACGGGAAAATGCAACAAACGTTTGTTTCAACTGCATTATGTGGCAGCTCCCAACAAAACCAGGATTCTAAAAATGAATTTTATTTTGATTTATGCAACTCCATGGTACAATCAAACATACCATGGAATAACTTAGAACAACCGGCGTTCCGTAAATTTTTAGAAAAATATTGTAACCGCCATATCCCAAATGAATCCACATTGCGCAATAACTATTTGAAGAAATTTTACCAGGTATGTTTAGAAAATATTAGGGAAAAGTTATGCAACACAAATATTTATATTCAAGTTGACGAAACAACAGATGCTTGTGGTCGTTATGTTGCCAATAACTTGTTGGTATTTTAAACGAGTCTACCCCTCCAGTGTCTTATTTAATTAATTCTGCAGCCTTAAGGCGCGTATTCATCTGAGCACGAACGGGAACGAGGCATGGCGTATGTGCAGATGTGGACGTACATCCGAGGCGCGCCACGTTGCGTTCGGCCGTTCGTCGTATGGAGCGAGGCAGTTCGGGAGCCATCCGAAGGTAGTCGGTACATCAAAGACAATTTTGCCTCGCGCGTTTAGATGTGGACAGTTTGTTTAGTCATCGTACGTTCGTGCCGCCCGCCGATTGGTAAATATGAGTTGGGACACGGAAAAAACAATATCTTTCATTAAAGAGTATGAAAAGCGCCCGATATTGTGGAAAAAGAACGATAAACATATAATCAGAAAAGAAGATGCATGGAGAGAGATAGGTGAAATATGTAATGAATCCGTGGACGTCTTAAAAAAGAAAATTGATAGTCTTCGAAGTTCAAGAAGGAGGGAAAAAAATAGAATTGCTAAAAGCATGGGAACAGGTAAAGGTAAGTTGAAGCACCAATGTTTATAATATTTTTTCAATAGTAATAATTCTGATGAAACCAAAAGTATAATATTTTTTTAATTTCAGGAAGAAACGAAATTTATGAGTCCAAATGGTTTGCATGGGATAGCCTAAAATTTCTAGATGACCCAGAAGAGCTACAAGAAACATTGTCCGTACGTATTAATAATTTGATAGTTTTGATTTTCTTTTTAAGTGAGTCTGTTTTTTGTGTTTTTTTTTGTTTGTTTAACTACATATACAGGGTGTCCCAGAAAAGATGGTCAAGCCGTCCACTGGACATTTTTGGAGACAGATAAGATGCAAAGATTACACATAAACTCTGTGGCACAGTTTCTGTTTTAAATAGGAGATAATACATACATAAAACAATTATATACTAGTTGCATAACGAATTTATTGGAAAAAAAAATTTACAATATTTTAGGCGTAATCATTTTGCCAAGGAACAGAACCATGTGAGCAGAAATAATCAGTAAACTCTGCTCGTATATTTTGTGCGGAAATACTTGATTTACGTGGAACATTTTCCAATGGAGCTAAAGAAGATCACCGTTGCCTTCTCGCCACGAGCCAGGAATGATTTTCCATTTTTTTCTTTGTCAAAAGTTCCATCCGGTGTATAGATATTTCTTGACGAATGGCTTTTACGCAAGAAATTGTGTAAACAAATGGTTGCCATGACTACTACTTTTGCCGTCTCTGGCTCCAGCAACATTGGCTTTCTCAAGACTCGAAAAACAGCAGAAATAATTCCAAAAGCATTTTCAACTATTCGACGAGCCCTACTCAGTCGATAATTGAAAATCCGTTCTTTAGACCTTTGCGATGACGACCGGAGTATGGTTTCATTATTTTTCTGTTAGTGCAAACAAATACGTACGGCATTTCTTTGTTCCTGCCAGGTAGAGGTGAGCACCCTGGAAATTTCAAATGTTTTTTTCCATATCTTTGTACAACTGGCAGTTTTTGAATACACCTCCGTCAGAAACACCACCCTGGCAACCAACGTCCACAAAAATAAAATTGTAGTCACCATAAACAAGAGCATTAATACAATACTAAAATTTGATTTGTAATTATAATAAATGCTACCGCTATTGATAGGACATTGCAGCGGTATATGTTTCCCATCAGGGCTCCTAAGCAATGTGGAAAATTCCACGTTTCGTTGAACTTTTCTGCTATTTTTAACCATTCATCTGTTGTAGAAGGTACCTAAAAAAATAAAAAAATATATTTTTTCAGGTTCATCCTGCTTCATCCGACATCATAGAAGTTGATGAAGAAACTACTGACAATACAGACCGAATTGTTGAGGACCAAAATCCTATTTCTTCGCAAAAAAAATTTTTGTCACCACATAAAAATGCTCCGAAAAGAAAAAAAAACGAGGACCCTCGTATACAAGAGGCCTACGATATTTTAAAAAGCAGAACAGCCACTCAGAGTTAAGATGAATGCTCAATGTTTGCTGACTTATCGCACAAAAAATGCGAAAGTTTAGCCCTCATACGAGAGCTGTTTTGCAAGATCAAATACATAATCTTATTTTCCAAGCTGAACTGGACTCTTTACCAATTTCCCCTCAGGTGTGATCACCATCCCAACAAACATTTCAACCTTCAACATCTATTTGTCAAACTTTCGTACTTATAATTCACTACCGTCTCCTTCTTCGTCAATATCATCAGTAGGACCTCCATCTTGTACTCCATCACCACTTCAATGTCCTCAAAGTAATATACAACAATATAATGAACATGCACCACAACAATCATCCAGTGAGCACTCGAGCACCCATAGCCAGGAAGTGCACCCGACCACCAGGAGATTACGTCCGAGAATTCACTCATCTTTCAAGTCAATTCAAGCCAACAAACTGCTAACCAGCTAACTACAGCTACCTACTTCTCGAAATATGATGAAATATGATACGTGAAATGTTAGTTAAGATTGAAATTAAAACATACCTTTACGTGTTTGACTCAATGTATTTATTATTTCTTTGCATACTTCCGGGACAAATTTTGAAATAACTTGTTTTGATACGTTGAATAAATATTGTAGACTACTAAACGAGTCACCAGTTGCCAAGTATCTTAATGTTATGGCCAATCTTTCCTCAGCAGTGATGGCTTTTCGAAAATGTGTGTCACTTCTCGTAATTTTGTCACGAATTGATTCCAATAAATAAAAAAAGTCGTCGGATGACATTCTGGTAAAATTTCGAAATGTGCTCCGTCCTCCTGCATCAAATCATTAAGAATAATTTTCCACGTGTAACCAACCTATTACGATATATTTAGTAGTCCACCAGCGCTTTTTCTTCTTCTTTTGGATAGACCGGCTATCACAATAAATGCTGCAGTACTGATTACTAGAACGTCGTCATCAGCCATACTATTTTTGCGAAATTATTGTTAGTTAGTTTAGAGCGTAGTGCGGACTGATCACATATTTCCATCTATTCGGGGGTGCGGCGGATAGCTTTGTTCGCTGCCTCGGCGAACCGTTCGCGACTTCAAATTTGAACAACCGAGGCATGCGGCAAGCGTCCGTTCGGCCTCGCCTGCCTCGTTCCCGTTCGTGCTCAGATGAATACGCACCTTTAGAAAAAAACAATCACTCGAGCGTTGCACGTTTTATTAATGATAGTTTACCCTACTATATGCACCAAATCCAGTTAAATCAGAAAACGTAAAATTGATGCTTTCTATGCGACCGCTTATATGATCAAGCCTGGAAAAGCTTTACTGGTATTTTACCCGGAATTAATACATTTCACCTTATGGGATCATGCATTGAATAGATTAGCCGAATTAGTACGTGCAGAATATCCTTCTGTTAATAATTTAATTGATGACGGAAAAAAGGTCTTTTTAAAAGCTCCCTTAAGGGTAGAATTTTACAAAAAAATGGCTCCTGGCTTGCTCTTACCACCTGAGCCTGTTATTACAAGATGGGGTACATGGCTCATGCTGCCTTGTTTTATGCAGATAATTTCGTAAAAATCAAAGCTTTTTTTTTTCACTTGACGCTGATTCTATAGCACTTAGATCTTGTAAGGAATCGATACTAGAGTCAAACATTTCAGAAGACTTAGCATTTATTAAAGCTCATTTTTTCATGTTAGCAAAAGCAATAATGGAGCTGGAAAACTACCCAGTTGTCATTAAACGACTCTTTCAGAATCATAGAAAAGGTGATTGAAGAACCAAGTCTTATTCCTGGAGAAATTGGAAACAAATTAGGGTTAAATGGGAAAGTGTTTATCTCGCAATCATGGATACCAACAAATAAAAAATGTTTGTTACATTTTGAGAGGACAGAACCAAAGTGATCCGGATATTAAAATGAAGCCTTCAGACATTGCTTCCTTGAAATTTGCGCCGATCACATCATGTGATGTGGAGCGTTCATTTTCGGCTTTTAAATATTTATTAACAGACAAACGCCATAATTTAAGCATGGGTAGTATAACCAGTTATTAGTTTTATACTGCAACCTATCGTTTTAACTTTTCGTGTGTGTTAGTTTGGATTAGTACTGTACTGTTCATTACAGTTTTGTTGACTTTTAGTTTAATATATTTGATATGAATTATATTTTTATTATATTAAACATAATATATAATATATAAGCGTTTATTTTTTTTGTGTTCGCAGATTTAGTTTCCAGCCGTTTTTCCACATATAAAATCCTATTTCGTCTATTTTTTACAGCATAAAAAAACATATTTTGTAGTTTTATACCAAATAAAAATTCCGGACCTTAGTGATAAGTAGACTAGTCACCCCCTCCTCTCTCGCTCAGTCGCTCTTGCGATTAGTTACGTTCGGATGTGTTGTTTGCTCGCTGTTTTGATTATTTCTAACGACTTGGCTCTTGTTGGGACTTCCGTGTGTGATTCTTTTCTGACGACCTAGTCTGTACCCTGTTTCTCTGTGATTCCTTACGACTTGGCTGCTGTGTGACTTGATTGTTCGTTGATTTGCCTATCGATGAACAACGGCTGATGAACAAAGGAGGCGGCCGTTCAGTTTCGAAGAATATGCCGATATTCTTTTCTACTATGGAGATGCCAGAGGCAAATGCTGAAGAAGCTCGTCGTGAGTATGGACCGACGAATCAAAATTGGATAAGACGACATAACAAACTACCATAACGCTCACTATTGGCGTGAACGTGCAGTGGGAAATCCTTATATGAAGAGACCAAAAGGATCTCAAAGGCGATATTGTCTGAATGTCTGGATGGGCATTATAAATAACTGTTTTGATAGGACCACATTTCCTACCCGACAACTTAAATGGAGAAGCCTACGAAAATTCTTAAGACATGAAATTGAATTACGTGAAGATGTGCCGCTACACACAAGACACAGAATGATTTTTCAGCATGACCGGTGCACAGCATATTTCAGACTAAGCGTTAGAAATTGGTTAAATGAGCAGTTTCCAAATCCATGGATCGGTAGAGGCGGACCAGCACGCAGTCCCGATCTCACACCTATGGACTTTTTTTGTGTGGGGTGGCATGAAAACTTTAGTATACTCTGATCAAAATCCTGTACCCACAATATAAGACCTCAGAAACAGGATAATACATGCAGCACAAGAAATTCAAGCCTCTCTTAGCAATTTGGCGGTAGTAAGATCAGCTGTCCTAAGAAGAGCACATGTGTGCATTAGAAATAGATTGCGCAATATTGAAAATGTATTATAAAAATAAAAAAATGTAGTTTCAAACAAATTATCCTGTATTAAGGTATGATTTTGTAAGTGTAGTTTTTTATTGCGTTTTCCTTCCTCCTCTTCTAATAGTCATATTTTTGTCAATTCTTAATCGGTTTGTGATTTTTATACCTCATTTGAAAGGTACTGAAACGTAGATGTTTTCTAATTATTTTGTAAGAAAATTT